GTCCCCAGTCCCCACATGACTCATCAAATAATATACTCCTCATTTAAAAATTTTATAATGTGAATGCCAGTGAGCTTCAGACAGTTTCTGGTATGATGGAACTTGAGCAACCATTGCTCAGGTCAAATGGAGACATCCATGCACTAGACAGTGGAGAAGACCCTAATTTGGGGTTGAGGGCATGTTTGTGTTTTCTTGCAGGAAAAGAATAAAGCTTTGGCAGCTGTCAGACCATTTAGTGAGATGCATGGAGAAGAGAAAAACTGGACCCGAGACCATGGGAGCCTACCTAAGCCAGTTTGAGTGAGATCTTCTAAATCAGTGTTCCTGACCCTTGATGTCATCGAATCTAGAGCCCAAGAAAGAGAGAAAACAGTCGGTTCGAGATTTCCAGTTTCTCAACAGACCTGCTACATCAACCTTCCGGACCCATGAGTTTTCATCGTAAAGCCAACAGAGAAAAAAGGAACCATTTAAAGCATTTGGACATTGGTATGGACTATGATGAGTGGCAAAAGCCTCTTTTCAGTATTTGAACAGGACATGGTCACTTGAAATATCCGACTTGATGGTTCCTGTTTCTGGAATCACCACTAGGCCAGTGTATTTTTCTGGAGAAATACAACTTGTCCTAATGCGACAACTATTATTCATATTTTTCATAATGCTACATGTGTAACATCAATGATTGTGCCCAATGTATCTGTGCAAGTGCACTTTCTGAATGCTTTCCTGAGCAGATCTTGAAATGATTGTAAACTTTATCAAATTATAACAGAATGTAAATCATGTGCATGTTACCCTTGTAACAGATGAAGGCTGGTAGAATGTTATGGCCCAGATCTGGTGATGGGTATGGTGATGGAGAGGCGCTATGTCAATGGGGGTCCTGGAAATGGTGACAGTGGCAGTAGGCATTCTGGCTTTATGCCGAGCTCAAACGTGCCTTGTTCCAGAGGCAAGAGATCCGTAACCAAGTATTGCTTAGCTTAGCCCATGGCAATCCCGATAGCCATGAAGGTTGGTTACAGATGATTTAAGGTTGGGGTGTCTCCGACGACGGGCAACCTGTGGGGAAGACCCCTCCCACCTAAGACAGGAGTTCAAGGTCCCCCAAAGACGGGAAAGGGAGGGTGACCCTACTTGACCTAAGCCAGGAGTGCCTCATTTTGAAAATAAAAAGGGGTGAATTGTGGGAACACCAGACCTTGAGCAGAGACCTACTTCCCCTTCTGCCTGGGAGTAGGCAGCTGTAGAAAATGTTTAGTAAAAACATGTTTACTAAAAACGATACAATAAGTTCCTGGAAAAGGCCTTCCCACGGAAACCGCCCTGACCTCGACCTTGTCCAAAGACTAACCGCACCTTCAAAAAGACACACACATCCACCTCTGGGGTCAGAGCAGAACCAGCCAGGGTAGAGGAGAGAGCAGAAGCTTCTCTGGTGGGAGCTTTTCTTAGGAGGTTTTCTTGAACCTTTTTGGAGCCTGTTTAAAGTTTTCTTTATATCATTGAACGAGTCTCTGTGTTGTCAATCCCCGACACCCTCCGCACGTTCTCAGACACAGGCCGCGCAGCAGACGTGACACTCTCTCTCTCTCTCTCTCTCTCTCTCTCTCTCTCTCTCTCTCTCTCTCTCTCTCTCTCGTAGAGAGGGAGCAGACTTATATACAGGCTTACAGGACAGTGGAAAAACCCCAGGTGGAAGAGATCATGTTTTCCTCATGCTAGATGCTGATGTCAGTGGGGCATGGCAGGGGCAGTAAACCAGGACTAGAAAATAACATACACTTAGACTGGAAAACAGGATGAACTTGTTGACTGACCAGCAACTCACAGAGACACCATGGAGACTGAGGCCCAACATTTCCCCCTTCTTTACATATAAATTAGTACCTGTCTCAGGTGACTAGGACATTAATGCCAACCTTACCCATCAATGGAGAAATCACCCAGGCTGCATGACCCTCCTAACTTAGGTTGGCAAGCATCCCCTTAGTCTCACCTGTCATTGGCTGCCTAATTTTTCTGTAGGTTCAACCATAATTGAGCTGAGGGATTCTCTCTGGTCCCCAACTGACAACTGGAGTATGGGCTTGTCTAGCACTGAGGCACCTTAACAAAATGAAGCATATGACAATAAGTCCTATGGCTATAAATCCCAGAGATGGGGACACGGCCCATTCTTTGATTAAACGGCCTGCTATCTGGGATCCCCTAAGGATGATCTCTTGAGAGGATGGAGGACCCCGGGTCTCATTCATTCTAGTAATTTGATTGGCCAATTGATGAATATAAACTTCGGCAGGGGTATCACAAACGTGCGCCAGGGCAGGCAAGCAGGTTTAAGGATATAAAATACCTACATGGACTAAGTTATTTAAGGAGCTCTGCTCTGTTACTTCCCCTACTGGTTTATCCACTGTACTGACTGTAGTTACAGACTTAAGATGACAATACCAGGTACAATGGCTGCTGTATCAGCAATAGCAATAGCTACAAATAAACCCCAACAGTGATGCCAAAGTCACTTTTTTGCTGTATGAGGGCATAAAGACAACACAACAGCACACAGTATCCAGACTCTCTGTATATTTTCCATTCCATATACTTTTACCTTTTCCTTTTCTTTCACTTAATACCAGCACCTTGTTTATTGTTACCCACTTTCAATTCACCCATTTTCAATCTACCCTCCAACCAAGGGTGATCTCACACCTTCCCCTTTCTTTCCCGACCTTGGTGTCAGGTGAAGGACTGGAGATTTAACCTGGTACCCCTAACTTGGTGCCCTTTTCCAATATACCCCCATAACCTTACTTGCTGGCCATCCTTTGAGGGTGATATCCCAGGTTCCCCTTTCTTTCCTGATCTCAGTGGATCGGGTGAAAGCCTGAAGATTTAAATCAACCTGTTTTCAATTCCTTTCCTTCCTGAGTCTCCTCTCTTGTTTCTTTCTCAGTTTCATTTCTTTCCCTTCCTGAGTCCTGTCCTTTCTTTCCCGATTTCTAACTGGTACCTGTTTTCAATTCCTGTTGGGGAGGCAGAGGATGTCCAGAGCTCAAGGCTACTCAGACAGGGGCAGCAGCTGCAGCAGCTCTAACCCTGCTGTGCCAAAGGTTCGGGTCTCTCTGACTTTCTTTCCTGATCTTAGTGGGACCTCCGCTTGTGGCATCTGTGTCACAAACAAGTCTGAGGTATTGGGAAATGAAAGACTAGAAATCTAATTGTTTGTGCTAAGAGAATGCATCTGCTGCCTTTATTGCCAGGAGAATGCGTGTGTGTATGTGTCATACCTGTGTGTCTTTATTGCAAGTGCTAAGAGGTCTCTCTCTCTCTCTCTCTCTCTCTCTCTCTCTCTCTCTCTCACTCTCTCTCTCTCTCTCTCTCTCTCTCTCTCTCTCTCTCATAGAGAGGGAGCAGCCTTATATACAGTCTTACAGGACAGTGGAGAAACTCCAGGTGGAAGAGATCATGTTTTCCTTGTGCTAGATGTTGATGTCAGTGGGGCAAGGCAGGGGCAGTAAGCCAGGACTAGAAAACAGGATGCACTTAGAGTGGAAAACAAAATGAACTTGTTGACTGACCAGAAACTCACAGAGACACCATGGGGGCTAGGGCCCAACATTGTTTTGCTCAGCTTGCTTTCTTATGAAATACATTACCACCAGCCCAGGGATGTCATTACCCTCAATGTGCTGGGTCCTCCCCCATCAACCACCAATTAAGAAAATAACACAGTCTTTCCTTAAAACACATTTTATGGAAGCATTTTCTTAATTGGGGTTCCCTTTTCTCAGATGATTTTAGCTTGTGTCAAATTGACATAAAACTACCCAGCATGTAGTACAGGGAGTAGTCCTGAGCTGAATAAAAAGGAGCAAGTGAATGGAGTACCAGAAGTCATATCTGTTTCCTGACTGCTGCTACAATGTGACGTCAGTAAGGGTGACATAGACATTATCTGGCCAGGGTAGATCAGGGAAGCATGCAAATTCATTACAGTACCCAGAAAGATACACTAATCTGCTAATCTGGGAATGTTTTATTTAGTATCAGATTGTGAATGACAATGTGTAACAAAAGAAATAAAATGGTGAAGGCCCTAAGGTAATCAGGTCCAACGTATCGCGATGTCCTGAGCTCAATAACCAGACAGTTGGATGCAAACCGCAAGAGGTTCATTGTTCACACAGGCGCCTTCGGGCATTCCAGCAGCCTTAGCTAGCTGAGTGCGCCGGGCTTTAAGACAGTTTTCTTTTTATATATATAATCTTGGCAAGCAATAGGGGTATTGCAAAAAGCGCGGGCATGATTTAACCTTCCTGGAGAAACCACAAGTTCAAAATTAAGCTTATCTCAACAGTCTGGTGGTTTCATGTGTCAGCACTCTGGACCAGATGTTCTTTTCGATCTGGCCTTGTTCCCTACCTGGGGGACCTTGGGGAATTTTCCACTGGGGCCACCTTCTGAGTCTCAAGGGGGTGTATTGAGGTCTTTCGTTCCCCCATTTCTTTTTGTGAAGTTTTAATCCTATAAGGTATGGTCCCTCTTGTTGATTAAGAGCTTGATACTGCTGTGTGAGAAGCAGGGCCTGGGTGATAGATAGGCATTCCTTAATGAACATCATAAGGTGATTTAAAATACAGGGGCCAAAAGTAAGCAACAGTAACAAAATAATCAAAGGACCTAGTATAGTAGAAATCAGGGTGGTCAGCCAGGGGGACCCACTGAACCAACTCTCAAACTAACGCTGTAGGGATTCCTGATCTCTTTGGGATTGGTTGAGTCTTTCCCTAAGTTTTGCCATGGAATCTCGTATGACCCCAGAATGGTCAACATAGAAACAACATTCTTCTTTGAGGGCAGCACACAGCCCACCTTCCTTAAGAAAAAGGAAGTTGAGGCCTCTTCGGTTTTGTAAGGCAACCTCAGCGAGGGAAGCAACAGACAATTCTAATTTAGTAATAGACCCTTCAACCGCTTTGATATCTTCCTCAATGGCTAGCTTTAATCTGAGTATCCTTGGGACCCTTCAACCAGCGCAGCTGCTCCGGTGCCTATCCCGGCCGCCATTCCTGCCCCCAATAGGAGGGCTAGGGTAAGTGATATAGGCTCTCTTGTACCTTAATGGGATCCCCTCATAAACTTGCTCCAGAACTTCAGGAGGGTAATAATACACATGGGGAAGAAAGCAGACTAGGACACAAAAATCTTTGGAGGCATTTAGGACTTGGGTGTGCACATAGGGTGTCAGTCCAGTACTACATGCCCACCAGAGCCCCGATTCAGGGACCAGGTAAATTTGACTTCCTGGCTTCTGGATGATTCAGTTACAGAGGCCCGACTTGGAGGATGGAGGTGTTCCTAGGCATAGACCCTGTTCTGAAACCTGAGTGAGTGTTTACCTATGGTCGGTCCCCCAGCTGCAGCCAGAGCTAGTGGTAGTGTTGTAAAATTTACTAGCGGTAGCAATCCCTTCATAATAGGGGGGTGCAGATGCCAAACATAGCCAACAAGAGGCGGTCATGTTTGGCTGGGTTCTGTTGAGGGCCGTAAAGGCCCCTTGGACCAGGTTAAAAAGTCTCTGGCCCGTTAGGGAGGCCTCAGGGGAGGAACTGGGGTAGGTTGAGGTGCTGTCAAGACCCTGTGGTTCCATAGTAGGGCTGGCAGGCAGGACCAGTGGGACCTGAGGCCTTGGGACCTGGGGTGGTCCCTGTTCCCCTAGGACTGAATTGGGACCAATAGAGTAGACAAGGGCCTCCATGAGGAGCCATATCCCAAAAATAAGTCCCTCATGATACCTTCCAGGTCTGTATAGTCTAAGTCCCCAACTTTTTCCTTTTATCCAATCAGTGACCGGCAGGGCTTTCCCTTCCGATGTAAAGACTATGCTAATATTGGATCTCCTGGTGTTGTGGTATAGAAGCTTAGGGGTCCTCCCCCAGCACCTGTCCAATGTGGACTGGTATAGGTTTCACATCCCCATTGTTTACAATAGTAAAGCTCTGGTCCCCCGCATTTTTAGGTCTGCATTCCTCCCGGGCAGATACACCATTTCCTAAATCTACATTCAGGATTGCTTCCCATGATCCCTCGGCCACTCGGCATAAATCAAAGGTGAGATTGGGATACCAAGTACCTGGGGTATTTGTGGATGAGCTGACATTAATCTGTCAGCTCCTCTCAGGGTTTTCTATGAGCCAAGTCAGCCTCTGGGGGTCATGGGGGTTGCCCCAGAGCTTCTAGGGAATATTCCTAGGAGGGCTAGGAGTAAAGTCAGGGTTCTTTTAAGAGTCTTATCTTGAGAGGGTTTTGGGTGTGTTGGAGCCTCCATGCGACGCATGCACCCAGGCCTCGATGCCGTCAACCTTTAAGGCAGTCGGGGTGATTAGCAGCTCAGTGTATGGACCTTTCCAGCATGGTTCCAAAGTTTTGGACTGGTGCCTCCTCACGTAGACCTTGTCACCAATCTGGTGGGGATGGGGCCTGGAAGGTGGTCCCTTATCCCGGTATGCTGTTGCGAGAGGCTTCCAGAATCTGCTCCTGGACTATCTACAAGGCTTGGAGGTGTGCCTGCAGGGTTGGGGTAGTAGCATAAGCAGAAATATCAGAGTCAAAGAAGATTACAGCAGGGGGAGGCCCTCCATAGAGGATCTCATATGGAGTGAGACCATGGGGACCAGGGGTGTTTCTGGCCAGGTAGAGGGCTAAGGGCAGATGTTGAACCCAGTCTCTAGTGCCAGTCTCCAATGCTAATTTAGTCAAGGTCTCCTTAATTGTTCTATTTATTCTTTCTACCTGACCTGAACTTTGGGGTCTATAAGCACAATGTAATTTCCAATCAAACCCCAGTAGCTTAGCCATCAACTGACTTACCTGGGAGACAAAAGCCGGCCCATTATCAGACCCAATCACTTTAGGTAGGCCAAATCAAGGGAAGATCTCCTCTAGAATCTTCTTGACCACTATCTGGTAGGAAAGGCCTCAACTCACCCTGAGAAGTTATCTATGAAAACTAGCAGGTATTTGTTACCATACAGGCCAGGTTTAACTTCTGTAAAATCCACTTCCCAATAGACATCGGGGAGGTGTCCTCTGGTCCTGGTCCCTTCTGGAAGTTTTAGTCTTCCTGCATTGACTTTTGCACAGGGAACACACTGATCAATAACCTGCTGAATGAGATTCTGCACATGTGGTATGTAAAAGAAGAACTTTTCCCTTTCCAATAGATTGGATAGCTTTTTCTTACTAAGGTGGGTTAATTTATGGAGGTCCATTAATAAGGTTCTGGTGTCCTTCTGGGATAGGATCAGTTTTCCTTGAAGTCTCCATCCTTGAACCTCCGGGTCATATTTGGCTCCTATTCTGTGCACTTCTGCCAGGTCTACCGCCGTATAGGCGAATTTCGGTTGGGGAGGGGCTGTTTGAGCCTTTCCAGTTCGCAGGGATAGAATCTGGGACCCAAATGCTGCCCTCCTTGCTGTTTCATCTGCCAGGTGGTTGCCTAAAGGCTATCCCCCTTCTGGTGTCCTGGACAATGGATGATGCTTAATTTTTTAGGTAAGAACAGGGCTTGTAACAGGTCCAGTATCTCAGTCTTATTTTTAATTTCTTTACCTCCTGAGGTCAGCAGCCCCCTCTTCTGGTAGATTTCTCCGAGCACATGTGCCATTGCAAATGCATGCCGGCTGTCAGTATAAATGTCCAGCCCTCTTTCCTTCTGCCATTTTTAGTGCCTGGGAGAGCACAATGAGCTCAGCCAGCTGTGCTGATGTTCCTGGGGGTAAGGCGCTTATCCACCACCGCTGCCCCACCTTTCGCTCACCTTCATGGAAAAAACTGCTCCCTTCAGTTAACCATGTAACATCCATGTCCAGGAGAGGTTGGTCGGTCAGGTCTGGGCGAGTCCCATGAGCCTCAGCTAGTATTTGTTGACAATCATGGGGCACCTCCTGACTGTCCTCTGAGTCTGGCAAGAGTGTAGCTGGGTTCAAGGTCGTGGCTGGCCCAAATTGTATCTTGTTGGGTGTCAGGAGCAGTGTCTGGGAGTGAGCCATCCGCGCGCGTTTGACAGCCAGCGCTTGGGTGACTGGCAGAGATGGTTTCCACAGCGTGGGGCATAATGACAGTGAGGGGCTGCCCCAGAGTTAGCCTGGGCTCCGGGGGGGGGAGCTCCTGGCCCTGATTCCCCTAGTCCTCAAGGGAAAGGACTTGGGGAGGATGTCTCCTGTGTTCTCTTGGTTTCCTCGGGCTATCGTTGGCCCAATGTCCCTTCTCTTTGCAGTAGGCACATCGATCGCGGCCAACCCGTGGGTACCGGATGTCTCCCTGGTTCCTCATCTGCCTCCCTGGTTCTGATCTAGGTTGTACTACGGTGGCCAAGATTTTGCTCAATTCCCTAGTGCATTTCTTATCACGCTTGCCTTCCCTCTCCTCGTTCCTTTCTTAACCTCTCCTCTTTCTCTTCCTGCAACTTTCTTAGTCTTTCTTCTTTCTCTTCTGGGGTTTCTTTCTTATTATAAATCCTTTCTGCTTCTTTCATGAGGTCCTGAAGGGTATAGTCCTGTAATCCCTCTAACCACTGCAGCCTAGTCCGAATGTCAGACGCTGACTGTCCTATAAAAGCCATGATAATTTCTCCTCCGCATTCTGGACTCGCTGGGTTGAAGGGTGTATATCTACGATACGCTTCCATTAACCTCTCTAAAAATGCTGCTGGGGTTTCTTTCCTTCCCTGAGTGACTGCTATTATCTTGGCCAAATTGGTTGGGTGCCTCCCAGCGCCCCGGAAACCCACAAGGAGAATTTGGTGATAGAGACAGAGTTGTTCCCGACCGGCTGGGGTAGTGTAATCCCAGTTAGGACGCTCCAATGGGAAGGCTGCATCAATCTCATTGGGGAGTTGGGTGGAGGCCCCGTTGGGGCCTGGCACATTTTTCCACACTTCTAAAGAGACCTTTTGTTTTTCCTCCGTGGTTAAAGATTGTCTGGAGGAGCTGTTGACAATCATCCCAAGTGGGCTGATGAGTCATTAAGATGGATTCAATGAGCCCAGTCAGTGCTTGGGGGATCTTGGGAAAAGGAAGGGTTATGGGTTTTCCAATTGTAGAGGTCGGATACAGAGAACAGCCAGTACTGAAGCTGGCCCCCTACTGATCTTAAGGGAAAGAGCTGAGCTGACCATGGTCCATCCTCTCCCTCCTGACAAGGTTGCTCTCTGTGGAGATGTAAACAGGAGTGGACCTCGGGCCAGGGTCATCCTGGGTTGAGGATTCAGGGGAAGGCAATGGAGGAGAGCTGGGTTCTCCTGCTCTGGCTGGACCCGGGGGAGGGGGATATGGGGGGGGAGGATCAAAGGAAAGCAGGTCGAGATTGGAGTCAGGGGGAAGGACGGGGGCTTAGACTTCTCCCCATTGGAATCAGAATCGGCCAGAGGGTAGAGCGAGGAGGATGGAGGGTGGGCAGTTGGCGTGGAGGGGTGAGGGACAAGAGGAGTGGATGGGAGTAAAGGGGGGCTGGAAGTACTGGGTAGGAGGTCGGGTTTTGGGGGGTGAACAAATGGGCAGACCCACGGAGGTGGATTGCAGGTCAGGTCTTCCTAGGTGACGATGTAGGCGACCTGGTCAGGGTGTCCGTGGGGTCCTGCATCAAAAACTTTGTCTTTCACCTACAAGATAACATTCTGGTTAAACGTGCTGTTCCGGGGCCAACCAACGTTGAAAGTTGGCCACTCGGAACTGCAGAAAGTCTGCTATTTCTTCTTTTTAACATCCATGGATTGGTTGTGTGCTTGAGCTAAGATGTCCTTCCAATGGCCTAGAGTCAAACTTAAGGGGGGTGGTTAGAGATTGTCCCATCCCAAAAAGATTTTCCAAAAACAACAAAGGATAAACAATAATAACAGAGACAATAAACAAACAACAGGCTAGATGCCTCGCGGCATGGAACCGATGAAAGATCGGATTTACAGACGGAGAGACGGGCAACCCCCACTCATCCTCCAGTAGGGTTCACCCTCAGAGACAAAGCGGGCTGGAAAAACTTGGACCCTGGGCACCCTGGGATGTCTTCCAGGGTGGCGGTACCAAGTGAGGACAGAATTCATCAATTCTCTCACTGGACTCTCAGATTCAGAAGTGTGCACTAGACCACAACAGAAAAACAGAAGAACAGACAGACAAGGGGTCGACTGATCGTCTTACCTCCCGGCGTCTGGGTTATTGAGAGGGGTCTTCAGATCTCGGTGGGACCTCCAAATGAAGCACCTAAGGTAATCAGGTCAATGTATTGCGACATCTGGAGCTCAATAACCAGACAGTTGGATGCAAGAGGTTTATTGTTCATACAGGCACCTGCGGGCACTCCAGCAGCCTAAGGTAGCTGAGCGTGCCAGGCTTTAAGACAGTTTTCTTTTTATATACATAATCTTGGCAAGCAATATGGTTATTGCTAAATCTCGGGCATAATTTAACCTTCCTGGAGAAACCACAAGGTCAAAATTAAGCTTATCTCAACAGTCTGGCAGTTTCATGCGACAGCACTCTGGACCAGATGTTCTTTTTGATCTGACCTTGCTCCGTACCTGGGGGACCTTGGGGAATTTTCCACTGGGGCGACCATCTGAGTCTCAAGGGGGGTGTATTGAGGTCTTTCAATGTTATCATGAGTAAGGGAGACAGCTGTATGAACTGGACTAGTGGACAGAGCAACTGATCATATGGATAGTATAAGGTATAGCTGCATCATGCATGTTTTGGTTTTACTTTTTTCTTTTTTCTCCAAATAACCAATTTTTAAATAGGTCTTTCTGATGACATTATACTAAAACTACCTCAACTTTGCATGTGAGAACAAAGGTTCTCTCTCTGGTGTGTGTGTGTGTGTGTGTGTGTGTGTGTGTGTGTGAGAGAGAGAGAGAGAGAGAGAGAGAGAGAGAGAGAGAGAGGAGAGAGAGAGCATGTGTATGTGTGTGTGTTGAAGGTGAAAGTGCTATAAGAAAACTAGGATGCGGTCTCCCAGACCTTAAAACTGATACAGTCATATTATGTTCTCCCACAATATCCAGAGAATTGACCCTCTGGCTGGGACTGTCAATTGAGACTTGAAGGGCTCTGATTTGAGATTGTTTACTTACTGGCATTTAATCTTAACTAAATCACAGAGGCTGCTCTGCTCCACTTTCTCATGAGTTAAAGAAAGATGATACTTGACACAGTCTCAACTTCTACAACATTATTAGAACCTCTATGCTAATGTGATATCGAGAAGAATTCTCAGCATCTTAAAAACTGATGCGAAGTCTAACGAGTCTCTGGTGTTTTAAGTCATGGCTATTGGCTTTCCTGAGCATAAATAAAGGACTCTTGTTAAGTCTATGCTTGCCCCTTATCCCTTAGAGTACCACATGAGTAATAAGACCCCATCTGTTTTGTAAAGAACAACTGATGGAGAAGACAGGGAGTCAGAAAGAATTATTGGTTGCCCCAGTCCATTAATTAATTTCAAATTCAGCTGGAATTTGGTATTTGCTTCATTTCAAAGGACTAGCTTCTTCCTGTCATTGATTTGAATTAGTCTTTAACTTACAGTGGAGAGCTTACCATGTAAATATTTTATATCCTGAGTGCTCACCTTCAGATAATGAGTGATTATCCTTCACAGTAAAGTTACAAATGACATTGGTTTTTTTTTTTTTTTTTTTTGGTTTTTACGAGACAGGGTTTCTCTGTATTGTTTCGGAGGCTATCGGTCCAGCCCGGCCTCGAACTCACAGAGATCCACCTGCCTCTGCCTCCCGAGTGCTGGGATTAAAGGCGTGCGCCACCACCGCCCGGCCATTGTTTTTTTTTTTTAATTAAAAAATCCTTTTCATTTTACATACTAACTCAGTTTCTCTTCTCTCCTCTTCTCCCACCTCCCCCAACTCCCCCATCGAACCCTCAGAGGGTGTAAGGCCTCCCTTGGGGAACTCATGGGTGACAGTTATGTGACTTGATCTGATGGGCTGGTGAGGCTAGCAGTGGGACCAGGACTTATCCTGAGTGCATGAACTGGCTTTTTGGAGCCCATTCCTTTGGTGAAATACAAGTGACATCGTAAGGGCTTTCCCTTATTGCTCTGACAGGAACGTATAGGGTCTGCATAGAAGGTATAATTGCTTATAAAAACAGAGGCGGGGCAACAATGAACATCTGATAACTAACCTCAAGAGTTCTCAAGACAGCCTTCCTGTCGATTGGCTCATCCTGCAGGCGGCAGCACCATCATACCTTTGTGCCATCGCTGCCCGTTGAGGGCATTTCCTAAGATTTCCTCTTCACTTGTACTGCTTTCCTGCTGTGAATTGCTTTCTTCTGTGACACTAAGATTATTTTTCATTGTGCTTTTCCTTACAGCTTCATCACTGTAGAGTTTGTTCCCTTCAACAGAAACCAGTTGCTTGTGCTTTCCTCCTTCACTTATTTCCAATATACCAGGCAGGCAGGAAGGCAGGCAGTAAAATGAAAGGCAGGCTGGCTTCGTTGTGTGTGAGAGTTTCTATGGGAAAAGATTTCCTTTCAGTCACATTTTAAATGGTGTCTGTGATGAGGACATGAAAAAAAAAGTCCTCAAATTGGATTCTTAAAAATAAAAATATGGTAAAAGGTACCATCTCACAAACAGGAGGAATAAAGCGCCATGTTCCTTCTAAGCAGTAAGGCTAAGCTCTCAGACTGCCTTCAGAGGGCTATTTTTGGGGTGAGTTGAGCTTACAGGGTAGAAGGCACCATATGGAGAAGGAGCTGAAACAATTACACCGATAAAAATTTGTAATGAGATGCTTTAGAGACAGTAAAATCTACATTAACCATATCCAGCTAACTGGGACTTTGGATTTGACACTTTTTGGGTTGTTTTGCCTTTAGAGGCATAGTTGAGTAATGATTGAATTAGTAGAGTTAAAAAATCCATTTTGTTAATATTTTAGTTAGTGATTTATACCTATCTTTCCCCCTAATTTCAGAGCTTTGTAGCTATTTCTTATGAAAGACAGAGTGAGAAGGAGAAAATTTCCAGTTTCTCAGCATCAGGCCATAATAAAGGCTGCATAAGGACTAACTAAGGATTTGGCTCAGTGATGGAGTGCTAGAATGTCCAAGACCCTGGGTTCAATCCCAAGCACTAAAAATAAATCGCAAAAGTAAAGCCAGTTATTGTGCAGAGATCCCAATACGGTTATTCTGTTGTTTGGAGACGATTAGGTATCAAGATGATCCAAGCTCTTGCTACTAAGTGTGTGGCCCTAGGTCACATCCCCTTCATGAATCTCAGTGTCCTCGTCTAAGGTGAGAGAACTTCTTCTTTTCAGGACCGTTAGAACTGGTCATCACTGTTCTTCACAATGACTGCTCCAGGTGTGATTTCTCCTTACAGTTATTATAATGGATTCTGCTATAGGGACATTGCATATCTTACCTCCATTGCAGAGATAAAGACAGACCAGATGGTTAGTTAGGTAACCAACCCAAGTCCATGTTACCACCTAATAATACCAGTGTTGGACTGAGGATTTTTCACCTCTACAGTTTCAATCTTCTGTCCACTTCAGTAGATAGATCTCCAGGACTCTGCTGAATTTGGGATTTTGAAGTAGGAAGTTATGATTTATACATAACTGTAAGGTGAACCAAGGCTGGAAATGTCTATTAAAATGTCATGAATTTTGTCGGAATGTTGGGAACTGCAGACTGGATGAGAAAACAATTCAGCATGGATCAAAGCCAAAAAAACTGATAAACTCTTAATTTGTCTTAGTTTTCAATATGCATTTAGATAGTTTAGGCATCCAAACACCTGCCACTGCTTCTGCTGAACTAGGAATGACTGTTTCATTGTTGATTGGCATCATGCCAGAGGATCCTATCTAAATCCAGTGACACATTAAAAAATCAGTCTTGATGATGACCATTCTAATATTTTAAAGGGGAATTGCATTTTGGAATACGTGAAGCACCAACCAATCTCTAAAAGAAAAGGCTGTGGCCTCATCATCCTCCATCCGTGGAGCTATTCTGCTACCCACTTTCCCACGGATAGCAAAGGACCAACTCTGAGAGACTTATGTTTATTATTTATTTTGCCATATTAACATATGAATGGGTACTTTAGGAGAAATTCTTACTCCAACTACATTGGCATGATAGAGCAAGTGCATTCATTTAGGATAAGATTTTCCGTGGTTTTTGTCTCTAGGATTGCTCTAAAAATACTGTTAACAACCATTGAAACTGAGGTATCTTATATCAGTCAGTCAGAGTCCATGCAGGCAGCCTTTAGTGGTAGGAGCATATTCTGGCCTCACATGAGCTGGTTTTCTGTCTTACTAAAACCACAAAAAATTTACGAGATTCTAAGTCACAGCCACAGGGTGGCTTTCCAAATCGCTTCTGCAATTCCTCCGATGAAGACATAGCACTATGAAATTACAGTGGAAGATGCCTGCTTAGCTTGGTGATGGCTGACCTCAGCAAAGTTCAGAAAGGGAAACAAAACATAACCTGTCGTGTGATAGTTGCACTTGGGTTGTTTTAACCTGATCTTTATAGGCAATGTCTGAGAAACAACCCCTGTGCACAAGAGGACACTAGAGAAAGGACACCACAGACCATAGGATGAAGCATTCACCTTGGTTTTTGTTGATATAGCCACTCCACCCTTCATTTTCTTCTGTGGAAATACACATAATCATATATTTCTCAGGACTGAATTTTTAGCATCTCAGACTATTTGTTGCAAACCTGGATGATTCTGAGCAAAGTTGTAGCCTACAGAAGTCCCCATGATTCTAGAAAGACATGGTAAGCATTCAGGGACAAGACTGCAATGTAACTTTCTACAAAATGAAAATTGCACAGGTTTCTGTCCTAAAGACAAAAACATTTTTTTACCTCCAGTCTAAGCTTGGATATAAGGGCTCCACCAAGGAGCGTATTTCAGAGAGTTGGAAAGTTGGAAGTGCCAGCCCCAGGGCAGCAGACTGGAAGAGTTTAGGTCTGTTTCTACATGCCTGTGAATTAGTAAACTCTACTACTTTTAAGGAATCACATTTTGCTGCCCCTGTAGTCGTCTAGCATTTCTAAGTAAAAGCGCCTTCTCAAATGTACAGATTTTGTAAGATTTCAAAAGTCACCCTTGTATTTTTCTCCTTATTTGTGTTTTATTTTTTTATATTGACCTTAGCAGAGTGAGAAATATGGAATGCTTAGATACAGA